AATGGCTTATTTTTGGTTTTAAGGTTAATTTAACAAGCGGCTTGCCGAGTTTCAAAAATTTTAACAACCAGCTCGCGCGAGCCGGCTCCAGCCCACCCCTGGTTTCAACATTCGATGAACTGTATGGTAAAACAATTCTTTCAGCGGAACTTCGCCTCTCATTCCATTTTCAGCTATATAAATACCATCAGGATAACTTTTTTTTTTCTTCCGTCGTGAATGTTGTTATATGTAGGATATATATTCGTATTACACTTAATTGAGTTATTTCGCATAACTTGATATTGCGTCTTCGATAAATTCATAGCTGTCATTAATGCTAATCCCTCTAGTGGCGTATTAGGTACGATTTAATTGTTTTTATCCTCAATAAAACATTTTATTTCATTTGCCGAATCTACATTTGATAAATATTCTTTTAATACGTACAGCAAACTATGTCGCTTTTTCTTTTTTAACCCCATTTCTGCTGCTTGTAAGATTTTATCATGATCACGATTTACTAACAATATGGATGTGTGCTGACGTTTACTTCGGTAGGACATACCTTCGTATTTTTGACATGGTCTCCCAATTGACTGTTTATTTAAACAAGAAACATTTAAATCGACGGTTTGTGATGATTGTTCGCTAGGTTGCTGATTAATTAAAGACAAAATTTTATTATCAAGCCAAAATGACTCGCCACTTAAAAATTTGCTCTTATTTTGAAAATATTTTTTGCTAAGTTTTGATCAACATTTGCATACAAATTCCAGGAGAGCTTTTTCAAAATGACTAAAATTTTTTTTCAAAAAATTTTCAAAACGACTAAAATAATTATTTAAATTGATGGATACATACATTTAATTCGTTTTTGAGCATACGATTATACTGATCTACAATTTGTCTTGACGTAAGTTGTGATGAAATAGTCTCTTTAATTTTTCAAATATTTCAAGCCTAGTTATGTTATTAAACATTTTTAAAAAATAATAAAAAAAAGTTTGTTTTGAACAAAAACGGTTCGATGTGTTTAATAAGATTAATAAAAAAAAAACTATATTCCTTAAACAAATATTTAAACTCTAAATTGGTATTTTTATAAAAGCAAAAAAAGTATATCATAAAAACATATCATAAAGGATACATGGTCGCAGGTGTTTTTTTTTTTTTTTTATTAATAACGGTCATTTAGTAAATTTAAAAATTAGAAAATCAAACAATCTTCGAGTGGAATTTAGAAAAAGGAAGATGCAGAAATTTATAAAAACACCTTTAAAATACCAACAATTCTAAGACATATTATAAATAAATTAAATACAAATATATAACTAAAACATTTACTTTTTATAAGCATTAAGTTAATGTTTATTTAAAATAAAAATAGTCCAAAGCTTTTTTAATTGAAAAAAGTTGTAACTTTTGAGGATAAGTATTTTTGAAAATAAAATCTCCGAAAATGGTTCTAGCAAGCTTGCTTTTATCTCTAGTAATTAAACTGATACATTTTTGAGTAGAGTAAAGCACTTATGTTTTAATAATAAAATACAAAAAAAAGTTTAGAAGATTTGACTTTTGGCCACGGAAAAAAATTCTGGCTCACTGTGACTTACTATGAAATCGTTAATAATATTTATCTACCAAAATTTATTAACTCATTGCCTCGTGACCACCATTCTAATGCACGGTTTTCGAAATTCCCAAAAGTTGTAAAACCCACTCATGTTAACAAACACACAAAAATTTCGAGTTAAAAATCTTAAAAAATGGTACGTTTTATAAGAGAATCAAGCTGTTTTTTTGAATAGATTTTATATTTTGATATGTTTTTACAAACTGAAATGATTGTTTTGAAATAAAAACTGCTTAATACACTAACTATTTTGATTTATTATTTTTGCTTTAGTTTTAATAAGTAGTTATTGGTAAAATGGCATATCATTGCGTTGTGAAAAATTGTTTAAATGGACGCTATAGACTTATGAATTGGAAATATGAAATATGCACTGAAATAAATGTAGAAAAGAAGATATTGGATGTAATTGTGCATCGCCTTTTCATTTATTTCCTTTTCCAACTATCCAAAAATCTCCCTCCCAATGTGAAATTTGGATCAAACTAATTAACCGCTTAAACACTACTGGGACAAATGATTTTTTCTGCCTAAAGAAAGATGCACAAGTTTGTTCTAATCGTTTTAAAGATAAAGAGTCTAATATAAAAAATCCTTATCCCACCTCGGATATAATTCTAGGCATAAAGCTGCTCTTTTGTGCTCTAGCTCTCGACCTCTAAATAGAAACAGTACAATAAATACTGACTCCACACAGCCTTTACTTAAAAAATACAAATCAAATGTAAAGTCTAATACATACTTTAATAGAATAGTTGATCAAATTCAAGACATCATTTCTGTTAAGGGATCGTCCATAAATTACGTAACGCGAAATTAAACTTATAGACAAAAGACAAAGCATTAAAAGTTTCCCCTCGCAGAGTCATTATTTAAATCAAGTGTATAAACAACCTTTAAAGTCCAGCGAAAACCAAAGCGCAAAAGAGCAAAATGATCTCCTACTTAAACTTTTAAAATAAGTTTTGCGTTGCGTAATTTATGGACGATCCCTAAACAGTTATGTTCTAGTTCCTCGTTAGCTAGTGTCAACTTCGCTACAAAAAACCCTGTTGACTTTATGATTGAACCAGTACCAGTGGTAGTAGTAGATAAAGAAGAAAATAATATTCATTAACTTTTTAATCATAATGAGTTCACTCAAGCTCAAGAATCAACTTTTTTAATAAGTAGCTTAAAAAAAACTATTGACAAATTACAAAAATTAAATCACAATCTTCATTTTCAAAACAAAAAATTACAAATTATAATTAAAAACAAAGTCAAAAATAATCTTCAAAAAAAAGTCTACAAAAAATTATTATAAAATGGCAAGAAGTGTAACTTTTAGACAAACATTCCTTCCCTTAAAGTTTTTCACATTCTTCACGACCTTATAAAACCAATTGCACATCGTCGATTTAATTACAAAACTGAAATGAAATGTTCTCCTAAAAAAAACCTAATAAAATGACACCAAAAAAACTTTTGAAGATGCAGAAAATTATGTTCACAAAATGAGTTTTTACTTGTTCTTATGAAATTACGTCTCGGACTTTTAAGCAATGACCTCGTTAATAGTCTTAGGCACTGTTTCAAAAATATTTAAATCGTGGATTAGAGGCATATCACAGTATTTAAAATCATTCGTTTACGTTCCAGACAAAGAAAATGTTCGCTTGAACCATCCTGATCGTTTTAAAAATAATCAAAGTCTGTTAAGAATATTGCTGTTAAGATTGCTCTGAAATTTTTATTGAAACACCAAAAGATTTAGAACTGCAATCTGCAACATGGTCTGAGTACAAGCACCACAATACAATTCCTTGTATTAGTTACATCACATAACATACACTTCACATTAGTTACATCACATAACATACACATCTCATTACATACACAATACAATTCCTTGTATTAGTTACATCTAGCCCTTTCATAAATTTTGTTTCGGAAGCATATACTGGAAGAATATCAGGTAAAGCAATAACATTGGATTGTGACTATCTTACAAAATTCCCTCCTTATTCTTTAATCATGGCTGATAAAGGTTTCAATATTGTTAGTGAGTGTGCTGCTTATAGGATTACCTTTATTTCCCCACCTGGAAAACGAGGAGCTTCTCAAATGACACCTGAAGAAGTAGTAAAAAGGAGTAATATTGCTAAACTCAGAATTCTCATTAAACAGATAATTAGGAAAAAGGAATTTTTTTGAATAATTGGACAAGAATTCCCTATATCACTTCTTGATAATCTTAATGACATTATCGTGATTTGTGCAGCTCTTTCCAATTTTAATTATGAAATAATTCTTTATCGATGCTCCAAAACAAAAACTCGTTAGTCTAAGTATAAATATATATATATATATACATATACGTATGTATATATATATATATATATATGTATATATATATATATATATGCATATATATATATATAATATATATATATTTACTATATATATGCCTACATATATATAGTATATATGTATAATATATATATTATATAATATATATATGCATACATATATATAGTGTATATGTATAATATATATACATATATATATATATATATATATATGTACATACAGCTAACCCTTGGAATCGACGATCAACTGTTTTTTTTGGATGGTTAACATTTTATTTTCTTTGTTTTCATTTTAATCTTCGAAATAGTTCTTCATAACTGAACTTTATAAATACAAAAATAACTTAACATTTAATAGGATACAAATTAGTATTTTTTTCCAACTTGCAAATTACTAACATTAAAATTGCACTCCAAATAGTTTAAAATTTAGCGCGCAGATTCTCATTTTACTTTTTAAAGGAAGTTTGATATATTGATAAACTTTTTCAAATCTTTAATGATTGTACGATAATTTAGAACATGCTTTTCCCAAATAATAATCTGATTATTTTTATAATCATGTTTTTCAAAAAATTTGAACTAGTCAACCATGACGCAAAAAATCATTTTAGAGAGGTCAAAATAGCAATTTTACTCGTTTGAGGCGATCATTGACCGGCCGTTATTTTACACGCCGTATATATATACTAGGCATCCTTCTTCATAGGCAGCGATAGTTCCAAAATAGTTATGTTATATAAATTATATATATGTATATATATATATAAATTGTTATATAAACTATATTTGATGCATATTATATATTAGGCTTCTGACAATATTAATATGCTAATTTAACATTATTATTAGTCAAATTAAGTCATTCTCTAGGCTTTTCTATTATATAGTGGTTTCTAGGCTTTTCTCTACGCGGTTTTTATTTAACTTCAATTATTAATAACGCGCATTATGGGTTGCTTACTACTATTATGTATAATTTTTATAATATAATATACAGCTTTATTCCATAAAGAAACGATCCATACTGTACGTGCTGATAAAAAAGACTTTAATTTATTTCATTAAATAGTTTAAAAATCGTTAAGCAATAGTTTATGGAGTACTAACTAATCATTATTACCCAATATAATAGGGCGTATTGACTGTTTCACTACGAATATCTTTTAGATTCCTCATTAAATTTTTTGTTCATCCTATCCATAACAAAAGTTGAATTCCGAAAATCGTGTATTTAAGGGCGCGAAAGATGTGTTCCTAACTGTCTTTGTAGGCACATTGTGCGTCGAAGGCATGAAAAACGTTTTAAATATTCGAGAAAACTTCAAGTTTTCTCGAATATTTAAAACAAAATTTCTAGACTTCCAGAAATAGTTTATCTCAGCATCGATTGACAGCATAAAATTGATAGGGTGGTCTAAATAACCTTTTTATAAAAAAAATATTTTTACAACACCTTTTTCAATTGGACACTTTCAGAAAAAAACAGACGGAAACGTGTAGGTATAACAATTTAATGTTTAACATTCCATAGCATATATTTCATGGATGAAATTAAATTAGAATAAAGCATGAACAAAAATTACTTTTGTATCTTACATAATTTTAAAAAATTGTAGTCCTAGCTTTTGCAAAACCATGAGAAAATATTCAAAACAATTTATGTATCTTGTTGCTTTCAAAATATAGACAAAGAACATTTTTTAAGAGTACTTTACCTTTATTATCTATCAAATATAGCTCTTTATTACATGTTCTTTTTACAAATAATTATACATGGATATCTATAAAATAAGGTTAACAAGAAGTGTAAACAACATTTTAGATTTTAAATCAAAAGCTTCATTTATTTTTCAAGTAAAAAAAGAATTCAGTTATTTTTCAGTTTTAAGTTTTAATTTTTTTTTAAGTTTCAAGTTTTAGTTCAGTTATTTTCCAAGATAAGAAAAATAAAACAAAAGTATATATACATTCATAAGAAATCAGTTATTTTTAATAAGAATCATTAGTCTTACTGTTTTTGAGCTCATTAATGTTTTTAACTTGGGATTGTGTCATTTAACGACCTCAGGAAATCAAATGTTACTGATTTTTTGAAGAAAAAAATACAAGCAAAGTTTATAATATAACCCATGTAAAGATGTTGTTTTTCCGGACTGCTGTGGATCATTGACTTGAAATCATATATTTATAGGTATGTTTAAAAACACTTAAAGGTGTACTTCGGAACTTAAGGGTTAAGCTAATGCCGATTATAACCAGGTAAAACAACCGAGTTCAGATTGGTTTCAAAATGCCTCAGTATAACTGGTTAATTCTTGCAGGATTAAACTGATGAAAAGTATTTGAAGCATCATTTGGAAAGTATTTGACATCAAGCCCAAATAGGCCTTTCACTAATCACTTGACAACATATAAGATTGGATCAATGCATGGATTATAGATTTCCATTGAAGACACTATGTAACATTAATATGCAGTTATTTGTAGCAAAATATGTTCCCTTTCACACATTTTAATAAACTTTTGATTTGCTAAAACAAAATAAAAACAAGTTTTTAGGCTTGCATCTTTTACAAAACTTACACATAAATAGCACAACACAATTATATATATAATTTTGCTTTTATTTGCTTAAAAGCAATTGTTTCAGAACAATTTTGCCATCAGGAAAAAATTAGAGTTTATAAACAATCAATACATTGTTCATTAATTAATTTTTCATCCTTTGGCACATTGATCAGAATATAAAAACAAAAATATTAAAGCACAATTCATCATAAAAATCATGACGTCAACTTTCGTTCAGACGGCAATTCCTATATAAAATATTATTTAATCACTGAAAGTGCTTTGAACAACATTGCTAAATAACAATATTAATTTTACATTAAATCAAATTATCATAGAATATGATTTTAAAAACCTATACAAGCTCAGTGTTTATAAGACATCAAGGACACTCGTGTCATCAGGTCATCAGACCTAATCTCATCATAGCTAATTGGTATTATAATGAAAACTAATAAAAATAAAATCTTTTAATAGAGGTTTTTGGAAACATTTTAAAGAACTTTTATCAATAATCAAATGAACTAATATATTAATACCAGAAGACAATTTTAATTTGAAGGCACGTTTAAAATGTAATTTAAACATTTATAATTATCAATTTGAAAATACTGTTTATCTGTTATTTATTACACTATGTTAGAGACGAACAATGAAAAAACAATATAACCTGAAATGTCTTACTCACCCTAAATTTTTTTAAAAAGTCGGAACTAAATTAATGTTACACTCTATTGAAAATACATATCGTTGAAGTTATTGCTTTAACTTAAAGTCATTAACCTAATTTAACTTTGAATTTTAAAAATTTTTAAGTTTAATACAACTTGCAACAAATATTCTTTTCTATAATTTTTTTTTTGTTTAAACAGGAGATGAGCTATAGTTTATAAGGCATTAAAGCATAGAAGCATTGAGAAACTAAAAAATCATTTCTTCTCTACACGGATACTTGGTAATAACATTTGACTAAACTTGTTTATCACACTTAAGGACTATTAAAGACTTCAAAATCTAAAAAATGTTTTATGCTAAACAAATAATGACTATAAGGTCACCATAATAATTTATTGCACAGTTTAATCTATCAGAGAACTGGCACTAGTTAATATTATTATTTATCAGCAATTGACTTCTCTGAAAATGTAAAGGTGTTAAAATACAACTTGTACTTGCATATGTAAAGCGTTGGTTTCAAAAAGTATGTGTTGTCTTTAGGCAACAAAAAAATTACATTGTCGCATTTATATTGCACATTTAAACACTACTACAATTTTGCAGATATTATTAATTAGATACGAAAACAAATGTAATGCAAATATTATTAGATAAACAGCACAACTTATTAAAATCATAAATTTAATTTACATGTCAGATAATTTAACCTTTCATCGCGAATGCTCAAAGGATTGGCTTTAATTTTATCATCATTCAGTTTTAAGATTGTGCATTTATTGAAAATTTAAATAATTTCATCAAGGTTGTTTAGAAATATACTACACCCTACTATCAAACTCCAAAAATTAATTTAATGGTGTTAGCGAAAATGTAGAAAACTTTAATTTAGCACAAAGTATACGCCCAGTGTACATTTATGGTTTACACTGGATTCTAGCATTGTGCTGATTAAATCTTGAAAAATTTTTAGTTTTATTATTAAATAGGTTTTTAAAGTCTTTTCACTTTATCTGTAGATAACAATAGGATCGTCATTTATAGATACATTCTATTTATAAAAATTATTTACTAGAATATATAAATTTGCGCTAAAATTTACCTTCATAATTTCTCAAATCTATACTTTGTTATTGCTCGAGCCTTGCGAAACGTTGTAAAGGACCGGAATAAGCGAGAACGCCTTATATAATAAAATCACGGTCACACGGACTTATATATACTTTAGGTATAATTATTTACAAAAATGCAAAGAATGCTAAGCCATTGTAAAAACAACGTGTAAAACAAGAAGCCGTTAAACCAAGTTCGGTTAATTTCACTATATGGCAACCAGTTTTGGCCTCTCAAGATGGCGGCGTATTTAGTTGATTATAAATAGAGAAAATTTGGTTACGAACTTTTATATCTTTTTTAAATGAAAATAAATGTATAAGCCTCAAATACAAATATAATTTTTGGTTTTACATAGCAAATATTTTGAAAAGAAACGCAATATTACATATTTGCGTAAATTTCTAAAATATATATAACATTTTGTTTAACAAAATATACTCTTAATAATTAGCTTGTATAATATCTTTCTTTTTTATATAAAAATTAATTAATTAAATAAGAAAAATTAAATAAAATAAAAATTTTTAGTTAAATAATTAAAAATTAGTTTATTTAACATAAGTAAAGAACGCACTAGAAACTAGTATTATACCTAGAACCTAATAGTTAACTATTAGGTTCCACTAATATATATATAACTATTTATAATCTATTAATATAAGTAAAAAACAAATAACAACCTAGTAGTTATCCAATTCAAAAGTTTCCAAACAACTTTAAATGTGAAAAGTCAAAATAATTTTATTCATTTTTTTAATTTGTATTTCATTTATTAACTTACTTTTAATTTTAGTTTTACCATAAATTAATTGTTTAATATTGTTTTTTATACAATTTATGTACCTTTTTGTTCTTAACTACCCAATGCTGCGTGCTAGAAGGTTAATAACACAACTGCATGGAAGGCAGCTGAATATCTTTTTAAAATAAATTATTATAAATTAGTTTTTCAAATAGATATCACAAATTTACAAATGTTGCATGAACTATTAGCTGAGCTCTGTAAGTACACACAACTCAGAGGTTCCTTCTAGATTTTTTTTTTTTTATATATAATTATTTGTACCTTGTTTTTTATTTGGTTACCTTGTTTTTTATTTGGTAAAATAATTTTTATAAATAAAATAATTTTGTCTACAGCATTTTTGGTGTGCAAACAAACTTGTAAATAAATTTCTATTAACAGGGCTGAATGCAACATAATAATTAATTTGAAATTTAACATCAATTTTTTATTAAATTTGTAATAAATAAAAAAATTACAATTTTATTTTGGTATTTTTTATTCGTACCATTTTCCTTTTAAATTTTGAGTTTTTCCTCTAGGATTTTTACTATTATACTTTTTTCCCCTCCATCAGTGTTTTCATATTTCTGTGAAGTATTTTCATCTATACCCACATTCTGTACATGCCCATGCCTATTTTTTTGATTGAATCATTGCGATCGGAGTCTTTAACGAAATTAACTTCTTTTGCTTGCTGTAAATGATCATTTACAACAGTGATTTCCAAACTTTTTTGTGTTGTAGACCCCTTTCTATGTTTTTTGGTTTTGGGTAGACCCCTAACTTACCTGATATTGATTTTTTGTTAATTTCTAACTGTAGTAAAGTTTAGTTTTTAAAATGTCAAGTAAAAACACATGCTAAGTTTTATACATTTATTAATTGCATTTAAATTAAAAATACTCAAAATAAAAGTGTGTATCTGTATACGTAACATAAAATAAACACAAAAAATAAACTAAGCAATATTATGTAATATTATGTAAACTAAGCAATAAGTAATTTTTTTTAGTGAGAAGGATGAACTTGATGCTTTAATAATAAATTATCAACATTTGGCGTCAACTTCGTAAGGTTTAATCTTAAATCTCCTCGGCTAATGATGTCCAATCTGTTCCTTTTTTTTCGTTAGGAGATCGGTAACAACGCTGAATCTTCTTTACACTAGGTATGAGGATGGAAAGGAAATAAAAAATTTCCTCGCTATATTTCATAATAAGGGATAAGTAAAGGGTATGATGTTTTGCATCCAGAAATGCTGATATCCGTTTTGAAATTGAACCTTAAGTTGTTCGTTTGTACTTAGTGCAATCAGTTCCTCTTGTATTAAGACATTTGTTTCTTCTATCTCACCATATGGGTTAATTATCCACGGTGGTATTACCATTGTCAAAACATCCTCAAACCTAATTTCGAAATCTGAATACAATACAATTAAATGTTGAACGTAGGTTGAAACGTTGTCCTCTGGACAGTTTGTGACAAACTGGGGAACTGGGAAAGTTCGCCCCGTCCAATATTTTGCTTCATTAGTTTAACTCTGGCAAAAAACGCTGATAAGATAGATTTTGTTTTAATCAAATCTAGATTGTTGCCTTGTAACTGCTAGTTAACCATATTAAATTTTGTAAACAAATCTGTTAAATAGGCAATGTCTGCTTTCCATTTTATTAAATTGTCTTTTAAAATTTTATCTTTAGTATCCAAAAATTCTAAAATAGTCTCAAAAAGTCCAAAGAATCTTGTTAAACATAAGCCTTTCGACAACCAGGGTACTTCAGTGTGAAGAAGTAACTGATGAAAGTGTTCGTTATTTTCTTCACACAACTGTGCAAATAACCACGTATTCAACGCGTTGCTTTGCATTCGGTTTACTGCATGAATGACTAATTGAAGAGATTAATGCAATCTAGCGCTCAAATTTTTAGCAACCAAATGTTGCCGATGGATGATGCAATGTATTGCTGACACCCCTGGCACATTTTGTTTTAAATAGCTTATAAATCCGCGATAACGTCCAACCATGGCAGGTGCTCCATCTGTAGCTACTGATATTTGATAAAGAGATTGCTTTTACACAGGGCCGGCGCGAGTAGGTGTCACGTGGGGGGGGGTGCCATTACAACTTTTGCCGACTAAAAAAAAAAAAAAGGTCCTCGTTTTCCAAAATTTGCCGACTGCCATGACGACATTTGCCGACTGTCTAACCTATATCAAAAGGTTCCACATTTGCCGACTAACTAGGTCCAATTTGCCGACTAAGGATCCAGTTTGCCGACTAAAAATCATTGATGAAGGGGGGGGGGTCACCCCCCTCCCCCACCCCCTATCGCGCCGGCCTTGCTTTTACAATAAAGTAATCCTTCAAAACATTAAATATTGATTCACCTTTAGTGTCGGTTGTCAACGTTCTTGCGAAGAGCAGTTCTTCGTGAATTTCTTTATTCATTATAAAACGAACATATGGCAATAATAATGCTGCATTACCTGGTAAAGTTGACTCGCCCAGTTGTATAGAGAAATGTGTCGTTTGCAAATAACTACACAAGAAGCATTTAATATCAGAACTCATTTCATCAATACGCCTTTCAACAGTATTGTTGCTTAAGGGAATTCTTTTAATTATATCAGATGCAGGTTTGTGTAAAACAGTTTTTAAAACTTCTTCAACGTTAGCTTAAGCAAAGTTAACTTCTCTCCAATAGTATGTGGTTTTTCGGATTTTGCTATAATAGCGAGATGTTGTAAGACGCCCGCAAATCATCATCGTTTCTTTGTGATGTCGAAGCGAACATTCTGTCCAGCGTGGGTCTATTCTGAAGTTTACCTTTAAGTGTGTAAAATTATTTCAAATCCTTATCTGTTTTATCAGGCTGACATCTTTTCAAATGATCTTTCAGCTTAGATGGTTTTATAGCATCATTGCCCAAAATTTTGTTGCATATAAGACACATAGGCAATTGTTTCACGTCATGGTTCACGTAATTTATTTATCTTTGCTAAAAAACTACGATTTCAAACTAAAATGTAATAAAAAAATGTGTACTTACTTTTCTTCGGCATTCTCAAACAAAATAACGCTGTTCACTATAGTTTTTTTAAAAAAACAATCGTATTATATCCATCACGTCACATAACAGTCATTAAATTTATTCTATTATTATCAAAACTCTTTCATTTTTCTTCTTCTTTGTGAATAAAAATATCGTCGAATATAAAAATTTTAATGGCATTGATTTCAAGTTGGAGAGCAACAACAGTTTAAAAAGACTTAGTAATTAAATGTATTGTGAAAATGTTTGGTACTTTTATAATTCTTTTAAAGCTAAGGAACTCAATTTTTAATGAACAAATGCGGGTAACAAGTTTAGTCAATCAGCTAGTCACGTATGGTAGTGCATTGTGCGTGTCTGCTCTGCCGCGATCATTTTGCGGTCGCAATTGATTAAATTTAGTGAGTCAGTGTGGGAGTACAATGTAAGTAAATAGGTACTTTCAGTGTATGTTGAGATCCACTATCGTGGACCCCATTTTCGTTTCATAGACCCCCAAATATTTATTCCGCTGACGTAGACCCCTTGCAGGTTGGGGGTCTATATAGACCATTTAAGAGAATCACTGATTTACAACAAGCAAGCAATTTTTATATCAAGGGTGTTAACGCTTTTATTTAGAGTATCGATATTCCAAAGAAAAGCGGTAGTACCCTTGATATAAAATTTCCTTAAACATGTTATGATCTGTCTCTTAAAATCTTTTTAAAATCTAAAACGGGTTTGAGAATCTTTGCAATTTTCAGACGAGCATTATCTTTGTATTTAAAAAAATGAATTTTAAAATCAGTTTTAAGTTCATCAACAAAATTTTTGATTGCAGTTGATTTGTTCCTAGCTTAGTCAAGAAACGGTATGATATCTAATGGGTCTGCTTTTACCTTTCGTAGCGCTTTCAAAGTGTTTTAGTATGCATACAATTTTTGCAGTATGCTACCATTGATTTTCTGCAGGTTATCTGCTTCTGTTATTATAAAATCATTAATAATTCATGTTTTTAAGTGTTGATAATAAGCAACTTTTTACAAGTTACAACGAAAATAGGTTATAGTAAATATAAAAACGGAATGAAATTAAACATAGAACTTACATTTATTATAAAAAATACCCATTAATTTCGATAAGTAGGCAAACAAAAAAAAATTCAATATAGTTTGCGGTACGTTGCAATTAGGGAATCCAATACCCGTATGCCGGGATGCTGAAAACCGGGATTTTGGTC